CATTACCCTTATTTCAGAGTACAAAATCTGGTTTTGTAGAACATATTTTTAAAAAAATTTCAATTTGGGCTGAGTTTCCAAATAATATATTTTTGTTTGTTGTCAATTGTTTGTGCTAAAAAATATAAACTATTTTAATGTCAAGTTAGTGAAAAATACAATTAAAGAAGTAGATCGGGTACAATACCATTTCAATAAGGAATTTTAATTGCAATAGAGAATTGAGTTTTTGATTACCTGTGATATACTTTGTCTTCTCAGTGCGCATAAATAAGATTTTGATTGCATAGTTTTTAGTCATTTATTGAACATCCTTTTTTGCTCTAGTGATCCACCTAGTTTGGGTTTCTTTTTGTTGTTTTTAAAGGTGGCAAGGTCTTCTGTATTTATTTTTCTATAAAGTTAGACTTTAGAAGTAGAGATTAGTTCTATAAGCAACATTATTTTTCTTGAATTTTTGAATGAATGGAAAACTAATATATATGGCAGGTCTTGCTCTAGGAGCTCAAAGGTAAATGAGATACCCTCCTAGACTTCAGTGAGGTTGCTTGCTTGCTTGTTTATTTATCTCAATGTTTCTTATGTTGGGGCTTGTCAACTGAAGGACTTTAGGGGGTGTGTGTATGTACGTATGTGTATGTATATATGTATTTGTGGTTTTCAGTGGTGATGATCTAGAGATTTCACCATATTTTCAAAAGGCTCTTGATATCTAGAAAAGCTAAAGGAGACAAAACACTAAACTATGAAGGGAGAGTCCCCTCAAAACAGGAATCATGTTCTGGAGCGCAGACCTCTGGTGATACAGACTTCCCCCACTAGGTAAGTGTTCTAGGAACCCAGCTGTATCAGTGCAGAAGCTGGCATTGTTGTGAGAAACTGCGTTTGGCTTCAGTGAATGTTTTTTGAAGACTTTCAATGCTTTTGCCCGTTTCACAATGGGGGATTTACAGAGAGCACTTGCCCACACCCACCACACTTAGTGTTCGGCAAATTTTGACCAAAATGGCATGACCCTTGTGCTCTGCACCCCTCACCCCCCATTCATTCCATCTCTCTCTGAGCAACATTTTGTTTTTCCCTGGATAAAAAGAAGTCCTTAAAGGAAAACCTTTTGCCAAGTGAAAGATGTGAAACAAACAGCAGAAGCCTTAAAAGGCATCAAAATTGAGTAGCTCAAGACTGTTTTGAGCAGTGGGGATGTCTTGGTAGATGTATTGTATGAAATGGAGAGCACTTTGAAGGCGACTAAAATTTAAACATCTACAAATAAATATGCAATTTTTTATAAATAAATTTTGGTGTTTTTCTGGGGGGCTCTTCTTTTGTATAATGTACTGCAATAAATGTCACAATAAGGATAAAAAGAAGTAAAGATCTTTGGGATAGCATAAATATTGGAGGCCAACTATATTCAAGGTCCTACACAGGGCTCATTTGATGTAAGCCTTTGCCTTGTTCCATGTTGCTACAGCTTTTGTACATAGTATAGTGACCGGTATAAAGTGTGATGCTTGTATCGGTGCTGGACATGGTAGTAATAGGTGGGTAGCTTTTTTGAAGATAGTTTAATGAAAAGACTATTTGCAGAGGTGTGGGCATAGATAATCAAAAGAGATGATGAGTCTGTCAGGCACCAGCAACAATTGGAAACTACTATCCACCTGGGCAAAGGGCAAGGAAGAGGATAGGAATTGTTTCAGAACTCAAGAGTTGTAGGCAATGGAAGAGGAGCCACATAAACAGGAGTTGTAGCCAAAAAGGAAATGTACCTGGTAATAAATTGTACTATTATTTCGGTCTCCTTCCACCTTTTGCTTTTCTGCTGGTTTTACCTGTTGGGAAAGGCAATGTCACACAGATTTTTGACCTCACTGTGCCCACTTTAGCTTCTAGCACTTCCTTACTGAGAGGTGAGGAGCCACACTGACTGTACTGGGCTTACCACCTTCGTGGGACTATCATCCTCTTCTTCAGGCTCTGAGTGGTCTTCGTTCTGTTTAAGGGTAGTCAGTGGCCCTCAGGCATGCCTCCAGCTTTCAGTACTTCAGACTCCAGGGGTAGGGTGGAGTGTGGGGTGGAGTGGAGTGGAGAGGGGGTGAGTGGGGTCTTTCCTGCTGCAAAACGAGAGCATGCATGCTCCTGGTTCTGTTCCTTTTGACCACCACTTGGGGCACCCAGTAAACTATAAGGGACCCATGGACACGATTGGAGTTGTGTTACTCTATCTCTTCTCAGTGTGATTAAAGCATTGTTCTATCCAGTACCGAACTATGTTGTGTTTCCTTGGCAACTTTGACCCCAAGATGCAGTGGGCAGAAGTGTTCGGAGTCCTCCCCTGGGATTGGTGACCCGAGGAAGGTGTTTTGTTCCACAGGTCCTCTGATTGGCAAAACCCAACCAGAAGCTAGAGGGCAGCTGAGGACTAGATAATGTAATCCTTAGAGACCAGGGGAGGCAGAGGTGCAGAATAAGGCAAAGAAGGGTGTAGAATGTGTCCAGAGGGACAAATGGAAAATATTAGCAGAGTGTTCAATTCTTATTTGTTAATTTAAATTGAACTTTTATTGTTAAACACAATTTAGCCTTACATATTATTAGATTAAAATGGAAAATGAGCAAATACCTCATAGTTTACTGTTTTTGATATAAATACCTTAAAGTAAAAATTCCTTTGTAATTATAGAGGCAACTATTTGTCTCATGTGTTTGAATAGTTGAAGTAGTAAAAATGTTCCCAGTCAGGGCACATGCTCGGGGTGCAGGTCAGTTCCCGCAGGGGACTCACCCGAGAGGCAGCCACACATTGTTTCTCTCCTTCTCTCCTTCCCTTCCTCTCTAAAGATAAATAAATAAAATCTTAAAAAAAGGAAATAGTAAAAATGATGCAATAATTATTAATCTATAAAATGTGAAATTAGGATAACTCAACTTTTTAAGACTTTGTATTTTTTAAATATGCATTTTCCATGTGGAAATTTAGATTATTTAATCAAGAGAAGACAATTCATTTTCTAGGGCCTGCCTCAAAAACCACTTTTAGGAATTTCCTTAGATAAATTTAAATGTATGAAAACTGTTTAAATGTATCAGTGGTATACTGCCACTTATATTTATTAATGACTAGTTGTTTTTACCATGTGCCAAGCCGCTCTGTTAAGTCCTTTACATAATTATTACATTTTATCCTCACAGTGATCCTAGGAAGTGTAGACACTGTTGTTGGTGTTTGAGATTCATTCACGGACAGAGTACGTTCCATAAAGGCCAGGGTTGTTTATATTCCGGTATGAATAGTTCTGTACTGATTGGCGTTTGTTATTGTTGGTAGTCCCTAGTTACTTTTCAAGTTGAGCACCTTTGCATATGCTTATTAGCCATTTAGATTTTTTCTATGAGGTCCCCAACCTAGTCTTTGTCTTTTTTTTATTGGGTTGTCTGTCATTTTATTTTTGATGTTGTGGAATTCTATGTATTTTTGGATATATGCTCATTGTTACAAATTACAGATGATTTCTCCCATTCTGTGGCAGAGCCAAGCTGAAATATTAAAAATTGGTTAGATCTGAGAGGCAAAGATAAGTATTTCTTCTCAGATGAAAAAATAAAAAAGTAAGTAAAGTAAATTCACCCATGACACAATTGAGTAGTTTGTTAGACTGAGGGTCCTTAACATGGACCAATAGAAGATAAGACTAGAGAACTCAAAATATATTCGTACCAGGGAAGCTCTAGAAAAGAGCAGAAATACACCTCCACAGAACATCTTTATGTCAGTACTCACCTTCTTACTGGAGAGTAAAGTTAGAGCACCATCCTTCATGTCCTTTGTGACCTGATGTTTGTCATTGTAGAGTCTCTCCTTGATGATGTGGCGCTTGCTGTCCTTTGCAGAACTTGAAGACTGATGTCTGAAGGGCTTTTTGGTTTCAGCAATTCTTTCAGTCTCAGCCCTTCATCTCAGAACTCCTGCAACAATGTGAGATGAACCCATTCTGTTCCCTACTGAGATTATTTTAGCTTTTAAAAAAAGCTTTGCTGGCTCTTAGGGATTTGCCTTTCACACTACTATTCAGATAGAAACATTTCTGTGGTGTCTCTCCTTAATTCTGTATCCATAGGTAAGTCTAAGGGAGGCTTGGAAATACATGGCTGGGTAAAATGGAACTTTTGATCCCATAGAAGAAAGGGAGATGGTATCAGGGAACCACCATTGATCTCTGCTACATAAACCCTTTTCTGTTGTGACTTACACGCTCTCCTGAAGTGATCAGCAGTAGTGTGAGAGGTAAATCCATAAGATCCAGCAGAATTTTTTTTTAAAGATAGAATACTCTCACTAGGGAACAGAATCCCTCACATTGTTGCAGAAGTTGTAAGGTGGAGGGCTGAGACTGAAAAGCACATAATAAAATGGAGTGTGTACCAATTTAAAATAAATTTTTATCCAGATTAGCTCATAACTTTAGATCCTGAAATCTTGGTTCTTATTTTAAAATTTTTACATTGTTTTAGAAAGGTAGAAATAAAATAACTTTTAGATTATTTATTGTTTTTAACAATTTTTAGATTTTGACATATTTACTAAATATGCATCTAAGTTTTACTAAATTTTTACATATAGCAAATGCCATTGAATATCACAGATGTGATGGAGGATGAAATATGTGCCTTTTATATTTATAGAAAACAAATTTATTAAACCCATTATTAAGAATAGTCTATAGAAAACATTTTACCCATAGGTAATATAAAAAAAAGCTCTAGGTTAGAATGAGTTCAAATATATGGAAGTTAAATGACAATCTAGAATTAGTTTACTGAAAATTAACTGATGTAGTGCACAGCAGATAAAATAGACACTGAAGATATTTTTTTTAAGTTCTATTCACAGTAGAGTTTGAAGAAAACTATTTAACATAGTTGTTCATATTATTTAAAATGATTTACTTGAAAAACCCAGTGTGTGATGCTATAAGTAATTATTTTTTCTTCCATAGGCAAGAAGCCTGATAGCTGTAGGACTGGGTGTTGCAGCTTTTGCATTTGCAGGTAAGATAATTGAAGGATACATATCAATAAATGTTATGAAATATTTCCAGATTGCTCCTATAGTGATTCATAAGCAGACTCTTAGTATTCTGAGGTTTTTGGTTTTAAGGCATTGTGCATTTCTATTCTTTCCACCATTTGTATTCACTAAACCATTTATATTTGTCGGTGTAGCAAAATCTAGATAAAATTTGTGGTGAAGAAAAGTAATGATGGAAAGGTTAGGAAATTAGCCCCGATACTAGTGGATCTTCCTGGCAGTTTTTTAGTCTGGGCCATAGTGTACTGTAAAAAAGAATCTTCAATATGAAGCAGTGTAATTGAAATGGGGTTCTTTCATTTTTTATTTTTTATTTTGAGAGTACATTTATTAAAGCTGGGGGCGATGAAACAAGGAGGGGCCTAGGATAGAGGAAGCACCAGGGGAGAGACTAGGTGGGGCTGCTTTGGCTCTCTAGAAACATTATGGGGACGAAGTGAGCTAAGTCAGGGTTGCTGTCAACTCACAGGAGAGTTAGCAGGGGGCCTTGGAGACAGTTTCAGGGGTCAGCCCAGGACTAAACAGCATTGCCCATAACTCCTGTGGTTGCAGGTGTCTGGGGTCCCTTAGAGTTTAGCTGATGTGGGCCTGTGGGGAAAGAAGGGAAAGGGAAAGAGGTGGGGCAGCTCCCAGGAGGGGGTGTGTGCAGATATGGGGTTCCTTTATTCTCTCATATGTATTTCTTCTTGTAGGTAGGATTGCACATTTCCTGAGCTATCAATCTGTTCTTTCTTTTTTTCTCTTTACATTGAATTTTTTTTTTTTTGGCTTACACTGGTTAACAAAATTGTATAGGATTCAGTGCACAATTATATAACATGTATACACTGTATAGTGTATTCACTACCCCGTCAAGTCTCCTTTCATCACCATTTATCCTCCACTCCTCCACTTCCACCCCCCCTGCAATCACCACACTTTTGTCTGTGTTCACGTTTTTTTTCCCTCTTTGTTGCTCAATCCTTCCACACCACTAGTCCTACTCCCACCCCCACTGTCAGTTTTTTCTGATGAGCGTAGCCGTTGTTTCCTGTAGTGTATTTATTACTTCATTTTTAACATAGTGGTGTAATGTCTTTGATAAACTGCCAAAGTCACATTTTTATAAATATTTGAAGGAAAATTGCTGTTTCATCAACTTACAGTTTAGAGTCATCAACTTAGTTTTAAATTGCCATTTACATTTAATGTTAAATTTACATTTTTTAATTTTAATTTAACAGTTGTGTCTCTTAAGTTTCATGGAATTGATCTTGTTAATTGAATCTTCTTTTTAGGTGAAGCTACATTCCATTGTGGCTATATGGAGTTTAGTAAGATCCAGTAGAAAAATGAGTAGAAAACGATTTTTGTTTTGTTTTGTGTGGTATTTAATTTTATAACAAATGGAAGTTGATATCTATATGATAAGAGATCTGGGTGAGTTGGGGCTTCAACCTTTTGTAATTTTCCTTAATGATCTTCTTGATCTCAAGAGCTTTTTATCTCCTAATTAGATTAGTTGGTTCACAGCTCAGGTCTAGCACCCTGTTTTTCACTATAGCGAGTTTGCACAGGAATAGCAGTGTATTCAGACAGGTAACTCCTTCTAAAAGATCTATGTAGATGAATTTTCTCAGTAGAAATCTTGATTTGTAAATAAGGTTATGGTTAGAAGTTGAAGTTCAGAGTGTCAAAACTGGTTTTTTACCAAGGCTTTTGGGAAGAGAGACACTAAGATTAGTCCTCAGTCATTCTGATTAGGGTACAAAAGGTAAATATTTTATTCTATGTCCCCAAAACAATTTAGGCCCTCTTTTGTTACTGATTCTTAGTTGTCAGGACTTGAGAATTTTTTTATTATTAGGATGTCTAAGAAAGAAAAGTGCTAAAAATAAAATTTTTAGGAGATTGGTCCTCTTTAGTAAGAAATTGCTAATGGATGTTGGTAATAAAATATTGGTAAATATTTTCTACTTAATAATGCTTTTACTTTAGAGCTAACTCCACTAAAATCACTCCTATGTTGTATAGCTTCTAAACTGTATTTGTTTTCTATATATTTCAAAGTAATTACCACTGTGAAAAGTAATATAAATAATCATTTTAGATTCATGAGTATCTTTATGTTAAAGATAACATATTAACATAAAGATACATATTAACATATCTTTATGTTAATTTGTCTGCAGTGTGGTGTGGAAAGAGCATAAGACTTTTTTGCGACCTATAACATTGTATAGAAATGTAACATTGGTTTTTGTTGACTTTATAATTATGGACTAGAACTTGATAAATTTAATACCTGTGATAACAATAATAAATTAGAAGTTAGAAAATACAACTTTGTGGTAAATTTTAAAATAGTTAACAAAATAATACATATAAAGTAAATTAGTAAATACTGTGGTAAGCACCTTGTGAGTATAGACTTTGATTATAGACAGTATGTTATGTTGGCTTCTATCCTTGTTACTGTTTAGGTCGCTATGTATTTCAGATCTGGAAACCTCTACAACAAGTAATCACAGAAACTGCAAAGAAGATTTCAACTCCTGTAAGTTAATGATAACTTTCATTGGAAAGCTCATTTTGATTTTTAAGTATTGTATTTGATAGTAATTCAGAAAATGTCTTGAGTTTTCCAACTTTGTATAAGTTTTATTTTAATTATGTCATCAGAGAATTTGTCTCATTTATTTATATTTTTTAAGCTTTTTGAACATGTTGTTTTTATATCTAACCTTTTTTCTGGTTTTGACATCTATTTCTTACTATTATATTCCTTTAGTAGTATTACATTCACTTTGAGGTATTTTCATTGGTTAATTAATATTCATTCACTCCATGACTGGTCACTATAAAGCAGTCCTTGTGCCCAGAGCTGGGTATGGCTGGTGAACAAACAGATACGGTCTGTGGTCTAGTGGTGCTTATCCAGACATTTTATTTCATCGTGAAATTTGAAACTAGCTTCCTTATACCACCACTACTGGCCATCTCAAATGTGAAATTTTAACATTCCAACCTTGAAATCCTGTAGGGCTAATACATTTATCTACCAGTATTGTAGTTTCTCTGCTGAGCCAAATATAAGTAAAGAATAAATGATAGCAGCATCTAAAAACTGTAGTGTGGTCAACTGTGGTTTGTGACCACTGGAAACAATGCAGAGAGAATTCACTGAAGCAGTACAGCACAGACATCAGCTGCTGGGAGAGAAAAGCAGGTCTAGCCATCTGTGTGGCTTGCAGCAATTTGACAATGTGTTATTTTAGCAAAAGCATTACAAATTTGTGAGGCTTAGTTAGCCATAAACAATAACCTCACTTTCAGAGGATAACATAGTGACAAATAATTAAACTCAAGTTCAAAAGAACTACAAGAAGTTTTCTGTTTTCTTATTTATATTTTATTTGGGTGAAGTATTAATAGGTGTTTAGCATTCATTCAATAAATAATCATTAAATGTCTACTACCTACCAGGCATTATTGTGTGGAGTGGGATATGGTAATGAATCAAAGACGCTGCCCTCTGGGAGCCTACATTTTTAGTAGACAATTGACAAATGAGTGAGATGTATAATATGTAAGTATTGAATGCTTTTAAGAAAACTAAAGGAGAGTAAGTGGTCAAATAATAACAGCAGAAAGGAATCTCTGTTAGTAGGTCAGGGAAGGCGTCTGAGGAGATGAGGAAGTAGGTCTTGTGAACATATCAAGAAAGAGTTTTCTAGGCAATAGAAACACTGCAAAGGTCCTGAGGTGGAAATGAGTTTAATATCAAGAGTAAATCCAATGAAGTATGCTAAGGGAATAGTGGTAATTTGGGCCCAGATCACTTAGGGCCTAATGGCTATGATAAAAACTGAAATTTTTATTTAAGTATGATGGAAAGTCTATGGAAGGTTTTGAGCATGGGGGCAATGTGATTTTTTTTTTGTTTTAGATTATTACTCTGCCTGCTGCATAGAATATTGACTAGAATGAACCAGAGTACAAGCTGTGAAACTGGTTACCAGGCATTGAGATAGTCCAGATAATAAATAAATGATGGAAACTTGAAATAGAGTTAATAGTAAAGGAAATGCTTACATAGTTCTTTATTTTATTTATTTTTCTTAGTTCTTTATTTTAAAAAAATATTGATTGATTTTATAGAAAAAGGAGGCAGGGGAGGGGGAGAGAGAGAGAGAAAGAAACATCAGTTTGTTGTTCCACTTACTCATGCATTCATTGGTTGATTTTTGTATGTTCCCTGACTAGGGATCTAACCCACAATCTTGGTATATTGGGATCATGCTCTAACCAACTGAGCTACCTGCATGACCTAGTTCTTTAAATGAACATTATTTATGTCTTTCCATATGTTTATATATAATAAATGGAGAAAATTTAAGAAATCATTTACCTTCTGTTAGGGTGATCTTTAGTAGATATATTTATAGCATAAATAGAAGACTCCCAAGTTTTGTAGAACTACATTATTTAACATTGTAAAGGATGAGAAAGCGAGAAAATGTGAAAATTTTCACTGCTTTGTGGAGGCTCACAGATAAGGTTGAATATACTGAACCTGGCACTTCCATTTCTTAAAGGGAGAGAAATGATACATGCCCTTGTTTCTTTATGTCTGGGCCTCAAGTTAACAAATATGACTCTAGATATGTTTTGCCTTGTTTTCACAAAATTCTTGCAGTTTTCAGTGAAATATCTTAGAATATCTTTATCAAATTTTTCTTAAAATGTTATTTGCTTCCTCTACACTTTAACATCATTTTGTTCTTAAATCTCATTTTTCTTTTTCTCATACATTTTTTTCCACTTCGCTGGAATACTGCCTAGAGTAATTTTTTATATAGGATATATGGATGATAAACACTTTAAGTTCTTTGTTAAATAATTTGTATTCTTTAACTGTTAATTATCATTTGAGCTGCTGGCTCTTTGGAATCTGGTGGAACCAGCATTAGAGAAGTACAGTCATCTCTGCTCAGACTGAATCTCCGTGCCCTTCTGTATCCTTTCTTGCATATTCACAGCCAGATTTTTTTTGGTACTACCAGACTCTCAGCCAGATTTCCTGGTGTTCTTATTTCTTTGTATGCAGCCTCTTTTAATTTTTTTGTTGTTGTTGCTTGTGCTTTCAGTTTTAGGTTTTGGTGATTTTTGTTTCTTTAGTTCTGAAAATTTGTAGGATTTTCTCTTTATTTTTGATGTTCTGATATTTCACAGAAATTCTTAGTGAGCCTTAACTCTATGAAATTATCTCTTTATGTTTTTCCTTTAATGATTTTCTTAAGTTTGTTTTTATAGTATTTTTTCCATTACTATTTATCTCCCTTATGCCCTCTTCCACCTCCACCTACCCCTGTCCTCCTGCAGTCCCCACACTGTTGTCTGTGTCCATGAGTCCTTCTTCTTTTTCTCAATTTCTCCACCCACTATCCCCTTCCCCAGAGTCGTTAGCCTGCTCTCTATCTATTTTGCTTGTTAGTTCAGTTTGTTCATTGGATTCCACATATGAGTGAAATATACAGTATTTGTCTTTCTCTGATTGGCTTATTTCACTTAGCATACTGTTCTCCAGGTCTGTCCATGCTGTTGCAAAGGGTAAAATTTTTCTTCTCTTTTATGGATGTTTAGTATTCCATTGCATGAATGTACCATAGATGTTGTCTTCCACTGTGTTTCTTCTCTGGTCCTAGAATTCTTTATTACAAAGATATTGGGCCCCTAAGTCTATCCCTTATGTTTCTTAACATTTTATATCTTCTTTTCTATCTCCTTTATCTTTCCATTCTACATTCCACAGTATTTCCAGAGGTTATTTTCCAGATCACCAGTTTGGCCCTTAGAAATGGTCTAAATGGTTATTCAGTCTATCTACTAAATTTTTTACATCAATAATTTTTTTTTTAATATTTTATTTATTTATTTTTCGAGAGAGGGGAAGGGAAGGAGAAAGAGTGGGAGAGAAATATCAATGTATGGTTGCCTCTCATGCGTCCTCTGCTGGGAACTGGCCTGCAACCCAGGCATGTGCCCTGACTGGAAATCGAACCTCGATACTCTGGTTCGCAGGCCCGCGCTCAATCCACTGAGCTACGCCAGCCAGGGCAATAATTTTTAATATTCAAGAGTTTTTCTTATTTCTTTCTCATAGCAACTTATTCTTTCATGGATGTGTTATTTATTTGAATATCTCTGAAGACATTAATTCAAACTTTAAGTTCTCTTCTGTTTCCTAATTTATCTCCTTCCTTCAAAGTCAGTGGTTAATTGTTTATCTTTTATCCCAGAAAGATATATTTATTGCATATTATTAGTGATCATAGTTTATAGCAGAATTTAATGTGTATATTTTTCACAAACATAAAATGGAAATAAAGACATCTATCAGATTTATATGGTGAACCAAAGTCCTGGTTTCTGGAATTCAGTAGTCAATCATTCTGGTCCAGGGTCATCAGTACATGATTTACAATAGTTGAGGATTTTGTCATTAATTGGAACAAAATCTTTATATGTGACAGTTGTTTCCTATATAGAACCCTTTTGAGGACTCTATTATTTCATTCTTTTGCTCTAATTCACCAGTTGGCTTGGGGATTTTATTTGTTGAGACACCTTTTTGTTCTCTTTCATCACCTAATGGCTCATTTTTCCAGCCAAAGAATAACAAGAAGCCCAACATGGTCTAAGTACCCAATGTGTATGTAGGTCACAGACGTCTGCCAGTACCCAGACGTGGCCTGGTTTAACACATGGCCTGATTGTTCATGTTGGTTCTATTCCCTTCCCAACCACCACCACCATGATACTGGATTTATTTAAATGTCTGATGATCTTTGGTTTTTGATTTATGTTTATGAGGACCAAGTTGATTAATATGCATGTCATTCCTCAGCAGTTTGATAGGCTTGCTTCAACACTTTAATTGAATGAGAGGATTTACAATGCTGTGTGGATACATAGATGGGCTGTGTCAGTAACTATGTCTTTCAGAGCAAGGAGCCCAGAGGCAGGCTTGGGACCAGAATCCAGGAGCAGAGTACTTGGTTGTCACCCTCACCAGCCTTCTGAGTTATGGAATGTGATCTGTTAGTATTCTTTGTTTCTTTTGGGACCTGTGCCACCTGCAGTAAGATGCATCACAGGCATATGATTCTGTTTAAACATCGAAGTACACGGACTCGATAGAATTTCCAGTTACGTTGGATATGGGTGTGAAAGTAGGAAGAACGTTGAAAGAAAGAAAGGTGGAAATAAATTAGGATTAGATCAAACTTTTGTGAGATAATTTTTAAGAAAAAAACAAATTAAATGCAAAAGTATTTCTTTAGACTGAGAAAAGAAAGTACAACAAACTACAAATTTTAAAAAACTGCCAGATACTATGAACATTACCAAAATTTAAAAAAATGATGATATACTATTTTTAACCAATCTACCTCTTGAAATATTTTGGCAGATAATTCTCTGATATTGATTTTTATAAGATAATGATTTTATAAGATAATTTTGTATATAAAGAAAAGAAAGATAATTCAGTTG